TGTAGATCCATGGTGGTCCTGTGGTCCTGTGGTCCTAGTATTGAGATGTAGATCCATGGTGGTTGTGTGGTCCTGTGGTCCTAGTATTGAGATGTAGATCCATGGTGGTTGTGTGGTCCTGTGGTCCTAGTATTGAGATGTAGATCCATGGTGGTTGTGTGGTCCTGTGGTCCTAGTATTGAGATGTAGATCCATGGTGGTCCTGTGGTCCTAGTATTGAGATGTAGATCCATGGTGGTCCTGTGGTCCTGTGGTCCTAGTATTGAGATGTAGATCCATGGTGGTCCTGTGGTCCTGTGGTCCTAGTATTGAGATGTAGATCCATGGTGGTTGTGTGGTCCTGTGGTCCTAGTATTGAGATGTAGATCCATGGTGGTTACTGACCACTGGACACATCCTGTCCCCTGTCCTGTTACTGACCACTGGACACATCCTGTCCTCTGTCCTGTTACTGTTTTACTGACCACTGGACACATCCTGTCCTCTGTCCTGTTACTGTTTTACTGACCACTGGACACATCCTATCCCCCGTCCTGTTACTGACCACTGGACACATCCTGTCCCCTGTCCTGTTACTGACCACTGGACACATCCTGTCCCCCGTCCTGTTACTGTTTTACTGACCACTGGACACATCCTGTCCCCCGTCCTGTTACTGTTTTACTGACCACTGGACACATCCTGTCCCCTGTCCTGTTACTGACCACTGGACACATCCTGTCCCCTGTCCTGTTACTGACCACTGGACACATCCTGTCCCCTGTCCTGTTACTGACCACTGGACACATCCTGTCCCCCGTCCTGTTACTGACCACTGGACACATCCTGTCCCCTGTCCTGTTACTGACCACTGGACACATCCTGTCCCCCGTCCTGTTACTGACCACTGGACACATCCTGTCCCATGCTGTTCTATGTTACAGACTGACCAGTAAACACTGTCCATGTCTCTACATGACAGACCATCCTGTTCCACTGGTCACTAATCATTACTGACAACATTACCACCCTGTTCCACTGGTCACTTCACTAATCATTACTGACAACATTACCACCCTGTTCCACTGGTCACTTCACTAATCATTACTGACAACATTACCACCCTGTTCCACTGGTCACTTCACTAATCATTACTGACAACATTACCACCCTGTTCCACTGGTCACTAATCATTACTGACAACATTACCACCCTGTTCCACTGGTCACTAATCATTACTGACAACATTACCACCCTGTTCCACTGGTCACTAATCATTACTGACAACATTACCATCCTGTTCCACTGGTCACTAATCATTACTGACAACATTATTCACTATGCTGTCCCAACCAAGAACATTCTCCGGAGGGTTTTAGGTGTTCAGAGCAGCTTCACTTCGGTGTAGAATGTATGTTTAAAAAAATATATATATACAAAAAGACTACAGCCTGACATGGAAACATCAGTAACCTGTATGCTCATCCTAACAATGGATTAAAGCTGAGAAAAGAAAATAACACTCTTATTACTTACCGACAGCTGGTCCTAGACAACATCCTGATCCACTGACTGAACAGGGATGCTAGGGATGTGGCATCTTTCCCTTTCAAGATGATTTGATACGTATCTAGATACATGGACTCCAATACGGTACAGGATCCATACGTTTTAGTTTGAAACGATTCGGTTTGATTAGAGAACGAATCCATGCAATTCGATTCGAAGCGATACGATGTTGTTTGTTACATAAACAAAGTTTTGTTGCGTAAACAAATTCATTTTCTAAATTAAAATCTGCTGCTTATGGATCTGGGATGGATCTGGGATGGATCTGTCTGAGCTGACGTGTTGGGATGGATCTGTCTGAGCTGACGTGTTTGGATGGATCTGTCTGAGCTGACGTGTTGGGATGGATCTGTCTGAGCTGACGTGTTGGGATGGATCTGTCTGAGCTGACGTGTTGGGATGGATCTGTCTGAGCTGACGTGTTTGGATGGATCTGTCTGAGCTGACGTGTTGGGATGGATCTGTCTGAGCTGACGTGTTGGGATGGATCTGTCTGAGCTGACGTGTTGGGATGGATCTGTCTGAGCTGACGTGTTGGGATGGATCTGTCTGAGCTGACGTGTTTGGATGGATCTGTCTGAGCTGACGTGTTGGGATGGATCTGTCTGAGCTGACGTGTTGGGATGGATCTGTCTGAGCTGACGTGTTTGGATGGATCTGTCTGAGCTGACGTGTTGGGATGGATCTGTCTGAGCTGACGTGTTTGGATGGATCTGTCTGAGCTGACGTGTTTGTTTGTGTGTGTGTGAATGACGTAGAATGCCTTCAGAAAGTATTCACGCCCCTTGACTTTTTCCACATTTCGTTGTTACAGACAGAATTTAAAATGTATTAAATTGAGATTTTGTGTCACTGGCCTACTTACAAATAGGTGCATTCACCTTATAGCCAGTGGGATAACCACTTTACAATGTTTTCTTTTTTTTTGGGGGGGGGGGGGTTGGAGTAAAGG